GCTAACCAATGTTTTAGGCATGCCAGTGGATGCAATAGTAACTACAACAAAGCTTCAGATTTATCTTCATCAATACTCAAGCTGCAGGATATGTTTTGATCACTGCTCTCTCAGGAGGGAGAGCCACACCACACGTGAAAAGTAACACAGAATCCCAGAATGGTTTGGTTGGAACAGACCTCAACCCCACCCTGTTCCACCCCGCTGCCATGGACAGGAACCTTCCACTATCCCAGGTTGCTCCAAACCCTCTCCAGCCTGGCCTTGAGCACTTCCAGGGTCCTTTTATCAGTCCAAGTCTCTCTTTACCAAAAGCTGACTTGAGGATTATTTGTTGACAGGAAATGCCAGTTAAAAGGCCCTTCAGAGCCAGCCAATATCCAGCTTTACATTCCTTCACAGCAAAAATGGGGGGGAAATGGACATACACAATGGTATTTTAGAAATATATGAGCATGAATATTTTTCTTAAAGCAACACAAACAACACTTCAGAACTGCCTGAGGTAACAGAACCTGGAAATAAGGCTGAGCTGCAATCATGGCTGTGGGGGATATTCCTAATGGGAAGAGCAGCACCAGGCTCTGGGGGCTGACTGGCCACACAGGACAGCACACTGCTCTCAAGGATGAGGGCAGATGGGATCCTGCATTTGCAAGCAGGCTTTCTGTTTCCAAATAGTTCAGGAAAATCACAAGAGCTGGTAGCAAAAATTTCAACTGCAGCTCTGAGAGAAATGCTGGGACTGAGAGAAGTGCATGGAGCTACAACACTTCCAGATACCAACAGAGAGGACCTCCTGCTTTTCACCATCTGCTTTTTCTGGAGGAAATGGCCAAGCAGAGAAAGCTCAAACAACACCTCTAGCCTTAAGGAATTTGACAGTGTTTGTAGGGTCTTCCCAGAGAATGTGTCCATATAATGTATTGCTGAAGCTTTTCTGCCAAGTTTAGCCTAGTGTTGGATCTGACTCCTTATCAGGCTGAAATGTTGCCTTTATTAAAAAAAAAATCCAATATATTTGAGGATGGAACAACAAGCCTTAAGGAATTTGACAATGTTTGTAGGGTCTTCCCCGAGAGCGTGTCCATATAATGTATTGCTGAAACTTTTCTGCCAAGTTTAGCCTAGTGTTGGATCTGACTCCTTATCAGGCTGAAATGTTGCCTTTATTAAATAAAAAGATCCAATATATTTGAGGATGGAACAACACTGCCAATGCTTACATGGGCTGCTCAGCCAGCCAGCACTGTATTTAAGGGAGAATTTGAAACTGTGGCTACTGTCAGATGAATTGAGCAAACCAGGTGAATCCAAACCTCCCTCATGGAGATAAGGCCAGATTTCTCCCCCCAGTCATGTTTACAATCCCCAGGTCATCACACTAGACCAGTGAAGAAGAAGGTTAAAGGCTGCAGCCAGCAAACACCAACCTTGCTGTGTGGGGTTTGTGTACCCGATGTGTTGTAGATGGCATCACACCTTCCTTCTCATGTATTTAAGTAGCCCTTCTTCCCCCATAAGGTGCCCTAGCACTGAGCCTTTATTTGAAATCAAATCTAGACCAAACTAAACACAAAAGGGGAAAACTGCCCTTACCAAAAAAATAGCTGTTTTCTGCCTTTTTCCCCCCTTTCCTTCTTTTCATAACCGAGGCGCAGCGATGGTGAAGATACAAGAGCAGAGAAGGGACATCCACAGCTAAAGCTTTGTCACGTGCTGACCTGTGGCACGCTGGCAGCCCTGTGGCAGGCAGCCAGTGGTGAGACATCATCAGCTATTCATCAGGAGAAGGCTCAGATAAAGCAGTGCTGCCCAGCAGGTATCCCGGTGAATGCATTCCGGGAGCATCCCGCCATTAAAAAGCCAGGAGACGCCTCGGCAAATTCCCCCGGGGCCCTTTGGGGAGGCTGACACGGAATTTGCCGGCCAGAATTTTAGTGATCCACTCCACGGCTCTGCTCCAGAAGCCCAAGATGAATAGGGAGCTCTGGTGAACTTTGAAGCCTGAGGGTCAAAGTTCTCTCTCATTATCCCCAACCATTTTCTATCGGCAGAGCTCCTCGGCATCCCAAGGGATGGGAAGGTTTGAGGCTCTTGAAAAAACCTGACACGACCAAGTCAGGAAACAGTAGGGTGCTTATGTACACATATTTTTCTTCCCCCGTTTTCCTCTCCCCCCACTTCCTTGAAAAGAAACGAGAGGGATTTCGCTATTGTGTCAAACATCAACCTGGTGGCACCAGGAGTCACTCGTGTGGCTGGCACAATGCCGCGCTCATTTCTGCGCGCTGCCCTGCCAAACAGGCCTGACCCTCCCGGGGACACCTCCTCTGAAAGAAAGGGCCTAATTTGATTTTTCCCTCCCCACCCCAAAACCTTTCATTCTGCAGGCAATGCTTTCAAGGAGGCTGTCAGGGCTGGATTCTGCAGTACCTATTTTCTATGTTTAAACCACTGCTTCGTGCCTGAGCCGCCACCGAATGCATCTGGCAGAGACAACTGATCCACCTGTGGCCAAAACTCGAGCAATATTTAACACAGTGCCCACTATCAGCCACTAAACATTGTAATTGGCCCTTCAAACACCAGGTGTTAGGCTCTGACTCAAACCACAGGCTGGACAGACCAAATGATCTCCTAAATTTCCTTTTTCTGCCACCACTAGAGGCCAGCCCACCTTTCACTGCAATTAAAAATTCACTCCAGAATTAAAAGGGCAACATTTTGATTAACTAAAGTGATCTGCACATTTGAAACAACCCAAATCTGATTAGAGCTAGGCTTTGCACAAGTTTAGGAAACTGACTTTAGACGGCTAACAAAAGCTCTTTTCTTCACTGCTACTTAATGGTAGGAATAAGGCCCTGATTTTTCAAAATAATGTAAGAAATTATCCCAGACAGCAATGCAAGCACAGCATTAAAAATTCATCACTTTCTTGTGAAAAAAAGGAACAAATTACCGACAAACAAAACCCAGCAAAACCAAACCAGAAACACAGCATCAGAGCTCTGTCTGGGGGAACGCCTCTCACCTGGCAATCCCCAAGAAGAAATTGTGACATTCCTGCCAAAAAACTTTAGTACAAAGTGTACTGGGAGTGTGAGTGACTGAAGATATCTGTGGTTCCTTCACAAACCCATCTGATCCACTCAAGGAGGAAACAGCAAAATCGAGCCCAGCACCTTCTTCTTGGGCTGGGAAGGCACGGTGGAGGACAGAGGGAAACAATTACAGGCTGGTAATTACTTCTTCTTTAAATGGATTCTCTCTAATCTCCGATGGATTTACCTCTAATCTCAAAGTAATTACGTGTAACCTCAGTGGATTCTCACTCGGGGGGCGACGCCGCAGCTCCGGGGGAGCCTGCAGAGGAGAAGTTTCTCCATTGTCTGCCAGAGCAATGGAAAACTCACACGTGCACAGCCCTGCCAGGAACAATAGAGCCTTTTCCAGCAGCCAGGAAGGGGCCAGGGCACACACAACAGCCTCCTCCTTGCCTGATGACCAGCACAAGCTAAGGCACACTCAGGTGGGGCACGCAGAATCCGTGCTTCCCTTCTGGGAGCAATGCCACCACACAAATTTGGGTGTTTCAGGGCTACTTCACAGCAGAATTAGTCACATTTAGAGGCACTGAAAGTGACCAAATTGGGCAGAAAGACGTGAACTCCATCACACAAAGGAGCAGTGAAAACCCTGCTCCAGAACACCAGGGCTGAGGGACAAGGTTTCTGATGGGAAGCAGCAATGCCTTGAAGCTACTTGTCATCTAATTTACCACATAATGTCTAAGAGACATGGACATCACATCAGAAACCAGAGCAAAGCATCATTATGGCAGGAGACCATAAAATCTTGTGTCAAGGCAGGGGAAAAGTGCTAATATTCCACAGACAGGGAACAGCAAGTGGGGGCAAGCACAGCATCAGTGGCCAGACAGGGATGTGGCACTTGGGGACATGGTTTAGTGCTGGGCTCTAGCTGGGCTGGATGATCTTAGAGTGCTTTCCAGACTTAATCATTCTAGGGTTCCATGCTCCTCAGACACCACCCAGGTAAAGCAGAAGTTTCCTGCCAGTTCCAGGTGCAGGTCTGTAAATGCCACGATTTATAGAAAATGCATCAAAACCTTGACTGTCACTCCTTAATGCAAAAGTGCCCGGGAGCTCAAGATGCCACCAATAGGTTTAGAAAAAACTGGCCCTAAAAACATTACAAGTGGCAACCCTCTGATTTGCATATGTGGGATGATGAGAAAATACAAGATCAGATATTATATAAAACCACACATACATGTACATATTTATATATTTATGTATTTATATGTAGGTAGATATTTCTATATATCCATATATCTCACATCTATATCTATATCTATATCTATATCTATCTATCTCTATTTATATATATGTATAATATATATTTTACCTTGGTGAGGGTCACACCATGATTTCTGGAGTAGGCTAGTCCTGACTGGGATCTCTGTGCTCCTTCCACCCCCATATCCATACTAGGAATTGTGCCACAGACTCTGAGGGACAGACAGCATCCTTGGACAGGAATAGATGCCTCAACACGGAAAAGCTGTATGGAACAGTTTTTAATGGCTATGCCATGTCCAAAAAGCTGCTCAGAATTACTCCTGGATAAACCACAAGCCCTGCACACTGACAAAGACCTCTCCACACTCTTTACTACCCCTAGGAAACTTTTTATGGTAAAGCACTTGTTTTTTAACCCTGGGACCAACAAGAAGCCCATAAAAGAATGAGTGGAAAATAAAGGCTTTAAACAGTTCCAGCAGCCTCTTGGGATGCAAGGAAGCCCCAGTCCCAGTGGAGTCAGAGGAACTGGAGTGCACTCAGACTTGCAGCGGGAGTTTCACTCCAGGTGACGATTCCTTGAGAGGGAAGGGAATGAGGAGAGGGGAAGCACAGTGGTGATACCACAGGCATGGCTGGCCCTGCTGGGTTCCCAGGGCAGGGGGTACTCACGTGCAGGCTGGGGTGGTAGGTCAGCACGCCGTTGTCACACAGCGTCACGTACTTCTTCTTCCACTCCTTGTTCAGGGACTTGCCACTCCGCTTCAGCAGCATCCCCTGCACAGGGAGAGAGAGAGAAAAGGTGAAATGACCACACAAACAAACACACATGACACACAACCTCCTAAGACACGGACAGAGAGAAGAGTTATTTCCTTTCCAGATAAGCGTTTTCAGACAGGCTTTCTCCTGCCTCTCCCACAATACACATTCCCTCCCTCCATTGGCTTTGTCCAGTGGGTAGAAAAACCCTCTTTTTCCTTGAATTCCATGCCTCAGGAAAGCACATTTTAGTGTGACCCACATGTATTCCTAGCTGATGAAGACACCATGCTCTGCATTTCCTTACCCTCTAAAATAAATGGTGAGCCCAGGTTGAGGGAGGATCCTGCTCTGTGGCCTCTCCCTCCAGCATCTCCTGGGGATTCCTTGCCCACAGAAGAGCACACATCTGTGTTCTCATTCCCTCTGCACAAAGGTGACACCACCATGGAAACCCCTCATTCCAGCAAAAGAAACCCCAATCCCAGGCAAGAGTAACAAAACAAAACCAGAGCAAAAACAAAGTGTTTCAAGTAAATCATGGATAATTTAATGACAGAGATGTGACTGGAGAAGAAAGGAGGTGGGGAAAGTGAATCACCTTTCCACCATATTCAGTCAGGGAGGAATGCCAACAATCACAGAATCCCAGAAGGGTTCAGGCTGGAAGGGACATTAAAATCCAGTTCCAACCCCCAGCCATGGGCAGGGACACCTCCCACTGGACCAGGTGGCTCCAAGCCCTGTCCAACCTGTCCTGGAACACTTCCAGGGATGGGGCAGCCATAATTTCTCATCAACAGCAGAGCTTAAAAGTCATCATTGTGTTCCAACAGACAGACAGGAGCTGCTACTGTACATTGACCTGTTCTCAGCTGCAAAACTGAAACTCACTTTGAAAAATAAAATACCATGTGCTGTAGAACACTCCAGGTAGTAAATGAAGAATGCACTTCCTTTGGAAATTTTAATTTCCAAACCCAAGCCAAAAGTAGTTCCTAATGGATCCAGACAGTATTATGGTTGTGCAAAGCCTTCCTGGAATGTCCAGTGGAGATGCCATGCTCAGTACCCACCACAGGGACACACTGGCGTCACAGATCAAGCTCTGATCAAAGTGGACACATGTGCATTTCAATAAATCCCAACCAGGAATCCACCCATCACAAACTTCATCTCCCTAATCCCTATAAAACAAGTTTTTCCCTTCTCATTGTACAAGGCAATTAAAATAAAGGGAAAACAGAACACAGAAAGATGCCCTACCAAGCACAGCACTTCCAACTCCCGTGGAGGTCTTCTTGTTAAAAGTGGTTTAAACTTTGAGAACGAGTTCCACTGTTTGCTTTCCCATTAAACTTGCAGCTTTATGAAGTGATCCCTCTGCAGACCCTATCCCAAAGCCAGGAGGGGACACAGGTCAGCTCCACCCAAGTAGAAGCCCTGCTCCTGGCCACACAGCCGGAGCAGAACTTCAGAGAAGAACCCTTCCCAACGCCCTCCACGGTGGGACCACGAAGAAAAGCTCCTGCTGGACACTGAACAGCACAGTGATCCAAACTCCCAACTTTCTGCCCGCCTGCGGGTCACATGGCTGTGTTTTTTTTGTTCTGCTCCTTGCCAGAACTCAAACTTTTTCAAGGAGAACGGGGCTTCTGAAACGCCTCCTCACAAAAGCTCCTGCTCATCCCAATTACTGCCTGCCGGCGCTTGGAGACGTTGTTTTCTTCTATTAAAAAATGAAAGCTTATTTCTGCCTTTGACTTTCCTGTTTGTCTATAGGAGGTGATCTGTCTCTTCACCTTTCCCATCTTTCATACCTCACCTGCAGCACAGCACTGGTGTTTAGGGGGACCCAATTCTAGTTAGTGCTGTGCCATGGGGATCAAAAATTACTGCTTCTCTGCACTGGTTTGTTCTTCAGACCTTCTAATGGGCAAAAAGCAGTAAGGATCACAATGGGGATTTTCTTTTTTCCCTTTGCCTTCTTTTTTCAAGTTTTGAAGCCAATAAAATGTACATATTTCATAACCTTTTAACTGCCCCTTTGCTATACAGAAAACATGTCATTACTTACATAATTTTCAATTCGTGTCAATTACAATCTCAATAAAGAGTAAAAATCTACCACGGTTGTGATTTTTACTACTTAAAGTTTTGCTACTATCTAAGTATGAATTATGACATTCTACTTTTGGATCTAAATGAATAAAATTATTTAAAATGAGGTTTTACCATGTTTTTAAAGCAGAACTCTGTGCTTTGAAGTAAAAAAAAAAAAAAAAAAACCAAACAAAAACCAACCCACCCAGCTCAGGACTGAATAAGGATGATGGACCTATTTGTTCCTAGCTAACAAACCAGACTTCCCAATCCATTTTCTTCAGGCATTCCTTTGGCAAACAGAATCATTTTCCCATTATGTGATAATTAAAAGTATCTTGAAGTACCTGGAGAGCAAACTGCTGTGAATACAAGGAGCTAACTTAAAGTGCCATAAAGCAAAGCAGCCCATATAAACCACAGTTTTTATCCCCAAGGCCACCACTTTGTGGTAATTTTATAGAATGGTCTGGAGAAACGGGCTTAGAATCAGAGTTTAGATCAGTTATAAATGCACTTTAACGTTAGCTACACTTTAAAACAAATGGCCCACATGACAGGAAATGTTATTTAAAATAAAAAAAAAAGCTCCTTGCTTCAGCCACATCATGGCTACATTTAAGTCACATCAGGTCCTGTGCTGAGGAAATGAGATCCAGGGGTTCCTGCTGACCCCTGGTACCTCCAAGGCAGCTTGGGCACATCCCCAGTCACTGGCAAACGGGTCCCCACATATACACAGCACACTGGAAAAATCCCATTGAGTCCCCAAGCTATGCAGTAAGAGCCTAAGTGAATCTCCTACTCCAAATACCAATTATTTTGGTCTAAATAATCCCTGCCTCAAATTATTAGTAACTGGATGATGCTATTTTCCATAATTTGTATGAAATCTTTAATTTCTCACAGCCCTCCATGGGCGGTTGGGTGCAGCTCCAGAGCCTCCAGACTCAACACTAAGAATTTAACACCTCTGATTTCCACACAAACTGAGAAGAACTTCACACCTCAAATCGCCTTTTTAATTTTTTTTTTTTTTTTTACCACCTTCCCTCCAAAACTGCAAATCTGTTTTTCAGGGAGGAATGGTGAGTCCTCCAGCTTGTGGTTTTAAGGTGCTGGAGGAAAAAGGCTCCAAGTGGAGTGCATGGAGCTCAGTCCCTGGGTTTGCTGGAGGATGCAGGGAGCGAACGGAGCCAGCTCTCCGTTAGTAATGTGTGTGCTACGTCTACTCCCAGGAGGTCATTGCAAGCCAAAAGCAATGTTAAGTGTACAAGCTTTAAATAACTTACAAAGTTAATGTAATGAATGCAAGTGTGATCTGAAATCCATCACTCAGTGGCTTGCTGTAGCCTCAAGCTGTGATAAAACACCACTCATAAATTTATATTAAAACTCTGTTCGATAGCAATTATTTACCAACAAAGATTTATTGATTGCATTTGCTGTTAGGGACTGGGGCCCTAACTGAGTCAATCAGCTTAGGCTGCTGAGCTCCAGGGCACCTGGGGAAGTTAGAGACTGCCAGCAGGCTCTGCAATCCCAACATTACCGTGGGAGCAGGAGCAGCTAATGAAAAGCCGCCAGCCCCGGATTGATTGGAGCCCAGGTGGAAAGAAAACAACACACCCAGCACTGGTGGAGGGACCAGGGCATGTGGAACACCCAGTCCACCTGAATGCACAGCAACCAGCAAAACCTGCCTGCTCTGGGTGCCCTCTGTGAGCTCCAAACCTCGCCTGCTTAAATAATGACTCAGTGGTGAAACAATCATCAATTTGTTCTACAGAAATAGTTCAGGTTTTAAATAGCAAATTACCAGCATTTCAAAAAGTGACCTTTTGAAGTTGCTTAATGCTGCATTGAAGATGCTAGCAGGTGAGAAGCCTTAAAAATGGTCTTTGAAGTCAGCAGAGCCAAGACTGGACCTTCTGGAAAAGGAAATATGGTACCTACAAGGCAGGGGCTGGAACTAGATGAGCTTCAGGACCCCATCTAACCAAAACCATTCCATGATTCCACTTTGATTTCTATTTTCTTTCAGAAATTTACCCCACTACCATGGCTGAGGTGCAAACTCCTGCCTTTTGTTTCATCCCCTCCCTAATTTTTAGCTGACCCCATATTGTTTCCCTGATGCTGCTGTGACAGAATGAAAACAGGTAATCTCACACAACGTAAATTCCTAATTTTCCATTCAGGTCTGTAGTTCTCACAGTCATGATTAGCTGACAGAATGAAAACAGGTAATCTCACACTTCATCATTAACAACGTAAATTCCTAATTTTCCATTCAGGTCTGTAGTTCTCACAGTCATGATTAGCAGCTAGAATTTTCTACAGCTCCTGTGCATCCTGCTCAGAAAAGAGAAACTCTCAGCCATGAAAATCCTCCTCCTTCAAATGACTCTGAAGGCAGACACTCGGTCAGGATCACAAAGTAATTGTTACATACAAATTCTGGTCAATAAAACACCCACTTCCCGTGAATCTATTAATGTGGAGGACAAATGCTGGTGAAACCCCCAGGATTCAATGACCAGCCAGCTCTGCACAGTCTGTCCAACAGCACTGGGGCCACCTGATAATAAACAAGGGATTAATTTTTCATTATTTTGCCTCCAGAAGATTTAGATGTAACAGGTTTCTGGTGCTAAAGTCCATTCTTCAGCAGCTCAAACTGTCTCACCTTCAAACAATACCTGCATGCCAAAGGAATATTTTGGCAATGACTGAATCCATAGAGAGTCAGAGAATCCCAGAATGGTTTGGGTGGGAAGGGACCTTAATGTTCATCTCACTCCATCCCCTATCATGGGCAGGGACACCTTCCACTAGAGCAGGTTGTTCTTTCTTTAAACCTAAAATCTTCTAGGGAATAAACTCTTGAAGATTCCCAGTGTAATTGGAGC